CCCCCCCCTACCCCCCCCCCCCCCATTTATCTTCTTTATCATCATGGTCTTTTTTTAATTTATGTTATGAGCTTACCTGTATAACACAATATTATTTTTGAAATGAAAAGAAAGATCAAAATTAGTAGTCAAGCATATAAGTTAGTGACGTCCAAGAAATAAATAAATGAGCAGGATAAAACTTTATATTAAAATAATTTGCTTGTATGAGTAACTTTATTAATAGCAATCAATTTGAAATATATATATATATATATATATATATATATATATATATATACACACACACACACACACACATTATTGAGAATAAAAGAGAATGAAAACTTTTAAACATATACTCAAGCAGGTAATACGAAAAATAATTAATAAAAATAAAGGTAGATTTTATAATAAATCCTAAAAGATTATCTATTTATCCTTTAAATAAAATTCAATTATAATTTTACGAAATAATTTTATTTTAACAATAATTAGAACTCAAAATCTATGTATCCGATATGGAATACGAGAGAAAGTAAACTTATATACATACAAATATGTAAGTATTTAATGCACATAATAATAAAATAATAATTATAAAAACAACAATAAATTTTGTAACAAATTTATAAAATAGTTATATATATATACACACACGTGCACGCACATATACATATTTTCTTAATGAGCTTAATTTAAATCTATAATAAGATATAATATTACTTTTATTATAAATAAAATACATAGGTAAAAAATAAAATATCATATATAATATAAAAAGAGATTACATAGATAAGTTTTTAGAAATATTAAGGGCAAAATAGAAATTGCCTCGGATAAGAGGAGAAGGATGTTTCTTGTTTGTTGGAGGAAAAATTTGATTTTTAAAGCAAAATTACAAAAAGGAGGAATTTTCACGTAATATAACTTATTTAGTACTTAATTAAATAAGTTACAACTACTTTTAGAAAATTATATAAAATACAATTTATTTTAATCTACAACTTTTCAAATTCCTAAAACTATCCTAATATATCTCTCTTGAGATTCTCTCTTACCTAAAACGTATTTATCCATTTTAATTTTCTCCCAAATTCTCCACTAAAAGACTCGAGTATATCCTAATGTCCCTAACCTCTTTCCTCCCTTTTACGTATATAATATATCAATTCCACCCCCTCCCCCCAGCGGCCTACCCCACTACATATCTTATACCTTTCTTCATACTCCATTATAGTATATTTTTTATCACCTAATTTGGCTTCTCTGTACAATTATTAATAATATATAGTGGTATATTATATATTATATACATGATATTATATATGTGTATATAGTATAATATTGTATGCGGTCAAATTCGGGTTTGTCTTTCCGTGCGACTAATCGAGAGTAGAGCACGATAAGCCAAGGATCAACCTCGTATTATATCAAACTATGGTGCAAGTTAGGTTGCCGAGCTCGAGACCCTGAGATCGATTAAGATCGAGACCGACCAAAATCGAAATCGATCAAGATCGAGATCGGCCAAGATCGATACTGAATAAGATGGTGATCAAGGGAAGCTTACTGAGTCGAATAACGGAAAGACAAAATATCCGTAATCGGGCGAGGATCACGGCGCGAATCCCAACACATATCAAGAGGAGGCCGATTAATTAGCCAATCATGAGATTTCTTACTGTATTTAGAATTATATCAAGAATAGGACTCCCCTACTATATAAAGGGGGTCTGATCATTTGTAAACCCATCACATTTTATGCAATACAAAGAAATATACTACCTTTTTCATAAGCTCTCAATACTTGGTTACTTTGTTCATATTTTCCAATAGAATATTCGTTTGGTTCGAGGGCAATGTAGCTTGAGATCCAAAACCATACATTTCCTTTGGTTTGCTTTTATTTCTATTTGCAGTCAATTTCAATATCAATTTACGTGCCCTCTTATTTTTGTGCCAAGTTATATAACGTATCTTTCAAACCGCGTATAAATTCAATTGTTATCTGTTTTTAGGGTAAACAGTTTGGCGCCCACCGTGGAGCTAAGGATAATAGTGATTAACTGGTACAAATTTTCGTAACACATACTATTTTACACTTGTTCTTTGAAGTATCTTTGATTACATGATTAAAAAAATGTCAAACTCTTAGTCAGCACCTCAACCATTGATAATGATCTCGCCCACCACGGAGAAAATGAGAACATTGCACCAGGAAACATTGTACCCTATGGTGGCCTCGATGGAATTCCGGCAGTAGATCCAATTGACGTCAATTCACATGTAGCCATCAATGGAAATTTGGCCATCGATCCCGAAAGCAGCATCCGCGGGGATGCCCAATCAGCTACTCAGAGCGCACATGGTGGTGAAGATGGAAGGATCAGCCTGAGGGTGATCTTCGAAATATTGTAGGCTCAACAGGCGGCGATAGCCCAGCTCCAAAATCATAAACACACACTGAGCAGGGTCGAACCCCAGCCATCCCAGGAAATCATACACAGGGTCGAATCGACTTTGAAAAGATCGAACGAGAAAGAATCGGAGGCTATCATAAGGATGCTCGAAGAACTGACAAAGCGAACCGATACAGGGGAAAAGAAGATCGAGGAAAACGACAAGAAGGTGGAACTTATAATTCCAGGGTTGATCAGATCCCAGGGGCACCATCGATATTGAAAGGACTAGATTCCAAAAAGTTTGTACAAAAATCTTTCCCCCCGAGTGTAGCTTTAAAGCCGAACCCCAAGATGTTTCGTATGCCCAAGATTCCTAAATATAATGGGACAACTGATCCAAACGAATGCTTCACCTCCTACACATGTGCTATCAAAGGAAATGACTTAGAAGATGACGAGATCGAATCTGTCTTGCTGAAGAAATTTGGGGAGACTCTATCGAAGAGTGCTATGATATGGTATCATAATTTACCACCTAATTCTATTGACTCATTTGCTATGCCTTCAGATTCTTTCGTAAAGGCACACGACGGGGCCTTAAGGTCGCAACAAGAAAGTCGGACCTTTTTAAGGTAACGCATAAAGACAACGAGATGCTCATAGAATTTGTTTCTCGATTCCAAATGGAACGAATGGATTTCCCACCGGTCACCGACGATTGGGCTGTTCAAGCTTTCACTCAAGGTCTCAACGTTCGAAGTTCAATGGCTTCATAACAGTTGAAGAAGAATTTGATCGAATACCCAGCTGTCACTTGGGCTGATGTGCACAATCGGCATCAATCGAAGATCAGGGTCGAGGATGATCAACTGGGGGCTCCTTCTGGGTCCGTTTATCCTATCAGGCCAGTAGATATAATCAAGAAGGATATCGACCGAGAACCAAGGT